AAATCCCAATTCCCACTCCCGAGTTTTAGTTACAATATCATATTTTATCAAGCATTTCAGATAGTAAAAAGGACAATATAAATAGCAGCATTTTGGAGCAAAGAAACCAAAGTTTGCAAGTTCAACTGTTTGAAAAATCTGCATTTCAAGTATCTGGTAAAATTCAGAGAGTTTCCTAGCTGTACATGCTACTTAAAATACAAGACTAAGAATAGAGGATTAAGAAAGGGAAAACCCCACAAAAACCACTTACCATTTTACGTATAGCACTATTGGAGTGACTGGCTGCTGTGGATATAATTTCCAGGGATTCTAGATGGCACCGAAAATGAAAAACAAATGTAAATACATTGTTATTTACTACAGTACACAAACTACTAGGTCTAATGGCATACTTGTAAATTTCATATGAATGTCAGCCTTCTCAAGCCCCAAAATTGTCAATAAGGTAAGCTACAAGTGTTTAGTCCAGCCGGGTACTTTTGCCTTAATTGAATGTAAAATACAATCAAAGTTAGAGCTAACAGATTAGATGCTGGAAAAGTTTAGCAGGAATCCTTGCCAGTTTTAATCAATTATTGTAGGGTGTTTGTGTAGTGAATTTCAAAATTCACGAACTTGAGTACTTGTACCCAAAATATGATTCTAAGAATCATGGCTCCTCCAATCAGAGAGCAGAAACAAAGTGTGACCAACAGATCCAACTAAAACAGTTCCAATTTCAAATATTTTTAAGAAACTGCTCCAGGCCAAGAATTATTTGCAGAAGCTATTTGATAAATAATTCTGAATAATAAGAAAAATATGATCTGTTCTTGCATAATTGATACATGAAAAATGATAAAACTTGAAAATGGAATCTATTTTCACAAAAAAATTGCTGAAATGTGTATTTTAAATAAACAAAATATGGATCCCATTTTCAAGGTTTTTTTCAGCAAAAGACCATTTCTATATAAAAAGCCACACAAAAGTGTGCTTAAATGCCAGACTAGCCTTCTCCTAAGAATCGTGCATGTGGCGTAGTTTCAGAAAAGGGTGCAAAATCATGTGAAACAAAAGTAGAATTTTTGTGCTCTATGTCAGGACGGACAAATTGTAAGTTTCACTGCTCTAGAGCTAGCCTAGAAATCAAAATAAACAATGGATCATTTTTCAGAGAATCTTACAACTCTACACTAACATTTTCCCTGCAACTGCGTTTCTTTACCTCATTTTTACTGGGATAGCTTTAATTTATAGAGTCCTTTATTACTGTTTTCTTATTGCTATATTAAGTTATCACACAATTCATGAAATATTTACTTTCAGCATCCTTCCAGTCTGGGGAATCTTGAGGCAGTTTCCTTAGGTAGTCCTTTAGTAGCATCTCATAGCGTGGAATGCGTTGTACTGGTTCTAGCATATGATGTTGCAATGTCAAACTCCCACAGACTTTTTGTGTCTAGGAAAATGTAAATATATTTAGATACCACAGTTCAGACAATATTTTTCCATAACTTAGTATGTCATAACACAATATAAAGCTGTGACTGACTTAAATCCAAGACTACTGTATCTTCATAAAAAAGGACTACAAAAACATGGGATTTTAACATAAGAACTCCTGATTGCAGGAAAGTGAGTTAGTTTTTTCATCTAATTAATTTAATCTAATTAATCAAATAATTAAAATCCTTTCCAATGACTTTAAAAGCAAGTAAAGTTAATTACTGTAAAGCAGGGAGAATCACTGTATTTATTTTCTTTGTATCCAGCAGAAAGAATTTCATAAATAGGACCACAAATGACATTGCATTTGAACTTAATTTTTCAAATAATATCTGTAATAACTGATCTTAAACCTCTAATTCATTTAATAAGGGACAAACATAATTTACCGTGACAAGTCATAAGAGCAAGGCATTTTATTCTGGACTCTAATATGGCACACATGTATGACAAATGCCTTCTTTCAATACATCGTTATCCATGATGTAAAAACAAGGGTAGCTATTTTGAGAAAAATGATGTCTGTTTACTTCCATTTCCTTAGAAAGAAGTAAGCTGTAGATTAGACTAAAGCACACAAAAGAAATCCCTTACTGAGGACCACACATTCTGCTTAAATTGCATCACATTGCAGCAATGTCTTATTCCTTTCCTAAACTTCTAGTTGGTAGGTCTGTAGGTTGGAAATGATATCCATACTAATTAACAGATAAATCAAGAAGAGGCCCTGGAGAGGTGAAGTTACAGACTTTTCCAAAGAGATACAGTCACATGACTGACTGCTCCTTCAACCTTCAGTTACTCAACATTTAGGATTGTAAACATACTTCCTAACTCAGGTGTTTTGGAAAACTGCAGGTCATGCACGACAGGTTAGGAATTTAGAGATGGACAAATATGTAATTGTAAAAAAAGTGTTATTTACTTTTTAGTATCTATGACCGACATAAAGCAAATTCGTTGGTCCTCATGTGTTTTAACATTTATGCTTTGATTGATGATGTGTTTCACTGGAGAGGAAGGATGTGGGGGGGGGGGGGGAAAAGGAAAAGAAAAAATAGGACAAAAATTAAATGGACAAAATGGAACCCTGACTTACTTTTAAGGGACCAGAAAAATAGATTGTGTTATGGAACGGGCCACCCAAATACCACATGAGAATCTGCTTCATTAGGAAAAACCCCACTGACTGCATAGCCCTATTTGTCACCTAACACCCCACACTGGAACCCATAAGGGGTATCAAACAATTACAGTGCATACTTGATGGAAACCACATCCTGAAAGAATTCTTTCCCAACCCCCTCTTCTGGGCTTCAAACAATCCCCCAGCCTATCCAAGCACATCATCAGAAGCAAGCTTCCCACAGACCAGGAAACATCAATTCAGAGCAGCACCAGACCCTGTCAGAACAACAGATGCAAAACCTGCAGACATAACTCCACTGCTACAATGATCAATACCTCCCACAACACACCTTTCAAGATCCATGAGTCCTACATATACCCATTGCAACATGTGGTATGCTTCATCCAGTGCAACAAAGACCCCAACAACAACAAGGGTGAAACCAGACAATCACTACACTCTCGAACGAACTCACATAGAAAAATGATAAAAGACAAAAAACAACTTATCACTCATAGGTGTATATTTTTCACAAAGCAATCACTCCATATCTGACTTCTCAGTGCTCATCCTCTGAGGCCTGGTCTATACTAGGGGGGTGGATTGATCTAAGTTACGCAACTTCAGCTACGTGAATAACGTAGCTAAATTTGACGTATTTAGATCTACTCACCGCAGTGTCTTCTCGGTGAGTCAACTACTGCCATTTCTCCCGTCAACTCAGCCTGCGCCTCTCACGCCGGTGGAGTACAGGAGTCGACGGGAGAGCGCTCGGGGGTTAATTTATCACATCTAGACTAGATGAGATAAATCGACCCCCACTGGATCGATCGCTGCCCACCGATCTGGCGGGTAGTATAGACATATCCATAGGAAACCTACACAACTCCTTCAAAAGACAAGCCTGGGAACGTAAATTCATAACTCTGTTGGACACTAAAAATCATGGACTTAACACAGAGATTGTTGTAATGAGCCATAAAACCAAATTTGTAACACACCCTGCTGCCTGCTCACCCTTTACTTAAAAAGAAGTGGGAAGTTGTCTCCTACAGTGTGTGTGAACCCCTTAGACTTGTCCCATCTTGTATTTAGCTCAGACACTGGTTATCTTCTCCAGACCTGAGGAAGAGCTCTGTAGTTTGAAAGTTTGTTCCTTCCACCAACAGAAGTTGGTCCAATAAAAGATATTACCCTACCTACCTTGTCTTTCAAAGGGACTGGATATTTAATTATTTAACACCGTCTTTCAGAAATATAGAAAATGACACATACACACTATTTTGTAGCTTTTCAATAAATAGTCTCCTCCATTACCTGAATGTCCTGAATGATGGATTTGAATAGAGGAGACCGCTCAGTCCACATTTTCACCAGTTCCATTGCATTATCAAAGTTTTTCACATACTCTCCATACATCTTGAGGAAAGGAGCTAACTTCTGCAGAATATCTCCAATTCTGGGGGTTGCAGCCCTGTAGAGCAAGAGGATTGAGTCTCAACTTCACAGCAAATAAGTAAAAGCCGACAAGGTATTAACTAGTAGACAAAATGAGGGGAAAATACTATTTCAAAATCTAAATTAATGAATCCTCCAGTTCAATACCTCTACACAAAGGATCCCAGTCTGACCATCAAAGGAGACCCGCAAAAGTGAAAACAATCTTTGTGCCCTATCTTGATCATGTATAAAGGCTACAAGTAAGGAATAAAGCACTACATAAAATGTTAATTCTTCTTTCATTATTTCCATTTAGTGAATGGCATTTCTCTGGGCTGCCATTATAAGTGATATAACACTGCTCTTCTCAGCTGGAGCTGAAAACTCAGGAGGCCAATTAATGCAAAACTGAGAAGATTCCAGTATTGCTATAAATTATTAAAAAAAAATCAGACAGTTTTAAGTTCTATTATGATAAATTCCATACTTTGAAAAAATATTAAGTCACTTAGAAGCTTAAAGTGGTAAAGACTATAGTGTTGCTTTATGTCTACAATAAACAAATAGCTTTAGCTGCTTTTCAAAATTTGAAAAATCACTTTGCGCTGACCTTTTCACAAACATACAGAGTTTGCAACAAGGTTCCAATAGTTTTATGAGCCAGCCAAACAAGAAATAGCCTACAAATGAAATGGGCTGATTATCTATAGCTGTTAGCTCATCAAAGGTAGTCTGATTTCACTTTCCCTCCAGAGAAACTAAATTTTGAAGGTTGTCTCTAATGCCAGACCTGAAGGTGTCCAATTTTTACAAGCTTGGGCACTAGGCCATATCAGATACGTCCAAAAAAGTCTAGCACATTGAGTCTTGGCAAGAATAAAAGTCTACTATAACTTCAGAACCCCTCCATAAGTAGGGCCCTTCGTTTTCAGTTTTTATTTTGTTTAATGTTTCGCAGGAATTTATTGGTGTTTATTACAGCCACAAAAGAGGTCAAAATCGGTGGAAAAAAACTATTAATTTTTCTGGGTAAATATTGGGGGGGGAAGGGGGTGTTGGTGGATGGATGAACAGGGGGAAGTATTCAGCAGATTAATGCTTTGATGAATAGAATTC